CTGTCTAATTAATTGAGTTTTACAGTTTTATCTTTACCAAATTCTGTTTTCCATTATTTTCTGGATTCCATTTTAATGGTTCCATTAAATTTTAATAATCAAAAGCATCTCCAATTAATTGATTTTATTTTATTTTTTTTTAAGTTTTGTTGTTTGTTTGTTTTTTCTGAAACACTGCACATTTAAATTTTTCTCCTAAATAAATTCTGGTAAATAATATTTCTGGTAAATACTTCTTTATTATCAAAAAACACTTTTTACTTTTATTAGTAGTAGACAAGAACACGTGGATATGTTGTCATTCTTACACTATAATACTGAACCTTGATTTCAGTGATTTGGACTATGAGATGGACACTTGCTTTTTGCACTTTATGTTGCACTTTACTTTTTTTACTTTTGGATTTTATTTGGTTTAATGAAATATAGTTTAATAAAATATTCTTAAGTAAAATTGTTGATTTTTTTTTGTGGGAAATTAATCGTTTAGATTAATTGATTAATTGATAAATTAGTCGACAGATTAATCGAAAAATAAAAATAGTCGTTAGTGGCAGCCCTAGTAAAATACTATCATTTATTTCTTACTTTGAAATCTAATGGTTAATTTTCTCAAACGAGACTGCCTCAATGAACTATTTCCCGCTCTGACCCCTTTCGTTTGCCAGCTTCCATGACTGAAATGAAATACGCTGTGTTTCCCGCCAACTGGCATCCCAGGGTGGATTATGGTATTTTTATGCTTTAGTAGAGTCAAAAACTTACATACAGCACCTTTAATGTCAGTTGTTTTTTTATCACAAATATTTTGGCGGGTCTTGAAATAGATTATTCTTGTCTAGGTGGGTCATGGAATGGAAAAGTTTGGGAACCCCTGCCAAACACCATAATGACAAAGCAAAAATTGTCACAGCTTCATCAATTTATTAAAAATAAAAAACTGTAATAAGTACATTGCATAAGTATTCATACCCTTACCTCAGTACTGTGCTGAAGCACCTTTACAGCCTCAAGTCTTTTTGGGTATGATGTGACAAGCTTTGCTCATCAGCATTTGGCAAT